AGATGGTAGTGAGACTTGCAATGCTTTATGGTGCAGAATGTTGGCCATTAAAAGAGAAGCATAATATTAAGTCAAGTGTTGTAGAGATGAGGATGCGCAGGTGGATGAGAGGCTTTACTCTTAGAGATAGGATACAAAATGAGCATATATGTGACACGGTTGGAGTAAGTCCAGTGGAATATAAGATTAGAGAGAGTCGCCTTAGATGGTTTGGTCACATAAAACGATAGTCTTTTGATGACCCGGTTAGGAAAGTAGATGTACTAGATTTGACTTATGTTAAGAAAGTTAGAGGCAGACCTAAAAAGACTTGGTTAAAAATATTAGAAATGATCTTTCTTTATTAGATTTAGATGAGAATTTGACTCGTGACAAGACAATGGAGAAAATGGATTCATTTAGCTGACTTCACATAGTAGGATAAAGGATTGTTGTTGTTGTTGTATAGGCATAAGGTTGACTAATATGTTGAACCTTACCATAAATACTTGTGTCCATTCCATTGAATATAAATTACATACTTTATGCTGCACCAGAGGGATGAAAAGATTGTGAAGAAAGGTTTTCATTCTTCTAGATGCTAATTAAACATCGTATGCAAAATAGGAAATTGAAAGGACCATAAACCCTAACAAATCATGTTTATTTCATTCAAAGTAGCAATGAAATAGTTCACAAGAAAAACTGAGAGCAAATAGAAAACTTGACAACAATCAATATTCAACATACAATGAAATATGATACATATGGCAATTAACAAAACCATAATATCAAACACACACCAACCAATTAACAACTTGATATAAAGAACATGGATGGCATTCCCCAAATAGGATAGCTAGGGCTCACATTGGTAGAAGAAGACTCATCTTGGACGCAATCGTCTAAACTATTAAAAAATTTATATCCAATAACACACTAGAATTGAGGGAAATTGAAAATTTTATTTTACTACTCAGTGTTCCACGAACTTTATGTGACTCGAGGTCCTAATTGACTATAAACGAACCAAAATTAGAAATTCCTTTTAATAGTTTATGTTCTGGTATTTTTTTTTTAAGTTTTAACTCTCCCAATTTCAGAAAGTATAAATAAGCTTATGTTTTCATTGCATACAACCTTACAAATAAATGCAAAAGGAGCTGGTAAATAGTCTATAGGCAAGTCCTTGATAAAAGCATCAAGGGAACCCAGAGAGGAATAAAGAAATCTTATAAGCAAAAGCATAAGAAAAAATTTACATGGAAGTTCTAAGGAAGTACCATAAGCCGAAGAGTAAGAAAAAATACATATGCCATAGTTCCTTCTATGTCTCTCGATTATCAAGACTGTAGCATGTGATGTAAATAGTCAGTGTTTTCGAAGTGCTTAGCATATTCTGATATATAATTATTTTTTCTGCTTAAATGTGCAAAGACCTAAGTGAAGCGAAGCTTTACAAACTAGAACATTTATGATTAGTTTGTCATGTATGCATATTATATGCATAGAATAGTCACTTTGGACACTTAAATCACATTAGATGTCAATTGTTTGGAAAATAGAATGATATCTTCAATAATATTAATTTTTATTCAAATCAATAATGATATAAATAATGAATTAATAAAAAATACTTAAAAATCTTGAATAATTGTGAGATTGAGTGAACAAATAGGATCCCAGAGGTAGAGGTTGCATGAAGTGAGATAGTGAAGATGTGGCACCTAAAAGCATTCTTAGGAAGAAAACTTGTGAGTAAGACGCTACCAATGTCAAAGAACCTTTGACAAAAAATTATAAGAAAATTAGAGGGAATGAATTAGCTAGGAGTGATTAGCTCCAGTGGAAGAAAATGTATAGTCAATGAGCAATGACTTAATGGCTATGAGCAACAATGAGAATAAGCGAACATATACACTTAGTTATTTTGTTGAAAGTTGATTTGAACCATGAGAACTAAACCAAGTTTTCATTTTGAGCTGGAACTTAGCATGGACAATTCAACAACGTGACACTTACACTTTGTTGTAAGCTTGCGCTTCAGCGGCAAGTGATGCATAGGGCTAGTGCATTGCTTCGCATTGTTCCCAAAGCACTCTTTTAACAAATTGCGAGCACATGTTTGAAAACCCATAACACATGTAAATTCTGTACCGAAGGCAAGTTATAACCTTTGATTTTTTCCAGTAATTGGTTTAAAACCAGAGGAAAGGAAAACTCAATAAGTAAAAAATGGATTGTTCTTTGATGCTTGTTGAATTGGAACCCTAGTGAACAATTAACCAAATTTAAAGAGGAAGTCAAAATACATGAAAGCATAACCTGTTTTTAATCGGATCAACATCATAGGCATATTTTGACATAAATTGAAGAAAAGAACAATGCAAACTAAATGAAAATGCGATGCTTGATAATAGTCCTGCTATTCAAGATTACTTTACATTTCAAAGAGTCTATACTTTTATTTATTAATCAAATAGTTTCTTTAATCTTTATTGCTAACTATTTTCTTTGAAAGTAGAATTCTGTTGTATGCGCAAGTTATATCATTTATTTTGATAATTAATCAGAAGGAAAATTACAATCCAGAACTTATGCTCTATAGACTTTGTGCCCGGTGATCCTAATTTTTACTTATTCTATGTGCAGTACTGCTTATTAATAAAATCGTTAGCTACAATGGGAGAGGAGTTGGCGGATCTATTGAGAGCATGATCAAAAGTGGACGACTGGCCACATTATCTGGTCTAAATATGCTTGAGGTATTTGTTGACAAAGTAGTTGTCATGGGCATTTGATATATGGATTAAATTGATAATTACCAACTGCTCTTCTTATTTAGCTCGTCCTCAATTTAATTTTTATTCTAGTTATTAAATGCATAACTTTTTTTGTGTGTGAAATGGATCTGTCTACATTGATACTTGCAAGGTTTATGATTGTTAAGATCATGCACTGAATTTTCATACTTTACTTTTTATTCTAGTAATAGAGCGCATTATTATCTTTTTTGTGAAATGGATGTCTACTTTGATACTTGCACGGTGTATGGTTAACGTCATGCAATTAATTTTTCACGCCATGTCTGTCTACATGTGTTTTCTCATGTGAACTATAGCTGCAATGAGTGAGTCTATAGTAGCAATGAAAACAATTGATGCCATGAATTTTGTAGAAACCTTATGATCAGGTAAGATACAGGTGCTCTTATGTCTTCACATTCAACTTCTTCAACATGTAATTATTTTCATTCCAAGATTTAAGGTTCCTTGGTTTTTTTTTTCTAAAGAGAAAAAAAGTTGAGAGAAAGGTGCATAGTAAATTTTCTTTATTCTTCTTTTTCTCTCTTTCACATGACTATATGAAACAAAAATCCTCATGTTTATGTTTATTGCACTTGTTTCAATGCTTTTATCCACTTTTGAAAGTTAAAGAAGCACCAACCCAATCAATGAAAACAATGTGCAAGGATAGACAACCACTCTTGTCCACTTCATGTCTTTTTTTCATAAATTGAAGCTGTTTGGTCTCTTCAGTTAATCTTGGTGCATGATGTAGACAAATAGATTAAAAAACCAAAGGAGAACACTTAAGGCAAAAAGAAGTTTTCTCAATTCAAATTTTAGTAAGCCAACACCAAACAAACCTTAAAACAAACGAAAGTTAGATAAAAACGAAAACTAACAAAATATAAAAAAACTACCCTCAGAACAACCAACTAATGGTCACATCACATGCATCGAAAAAGTAGGGAAAATGTTTAGTGCTCAAAGACAGGCAAACTAGAGGTCCACCACAGCAACTTGGGCCAACGTTCACCACAAACCCCTCCGGCAAATGCTGCTAAACCGACCAACCGACACCTTCAAAAGCTTGAGAAGAAAGATACAAGTGAGGTGGAAACTTGTGGAGAGAAGTAGGTAAGAAGCCTGAGATGAAATCAAAGAGAGGAGAAGAGAAAGTGGAAATAGCTTGCAAGCTATCCAAGAAGAAACCCCTCAGGTTTAAGTAGTTTTCACTCACCAAAATCAGCTCCCAAATGTCACAAAATAGCCACAGAGGAAGAGAGGGAGCTAAACAGTCCAAACGACCGCCCATTCAAACCAATCAAAAAAGGGGAGGCAAAAGGCCAACAGGCAGCCGGCTGGAGCAGCACACGAAGGGGCAGCGGGACACAACCACTGATGTAGGCAGGGGGGACGGTTGGTCCGTTGGCTGCTTGGTGGCTGTTCGGTTCCTCTTTGGCTGGCCAGGTTCATTCCCTCTGTTTTGGCCCTTCGTTTCCTTTGCCTGCCCGGTTCCTTCCCCCTGGCACTGTCTGTTCGTTGGATGTGTCCTGCTGGCCCTTCGTGTGCTTCTTCATCCGGTTGCTTGTTGGCCTTTTTGTTTGAAACTGGATACTTATGTCCACTATCAATCCTATCCTCCATCAAAATGCATATCAATTTTTAAATTACACAAGCCATTACTTTGTTAGTTTATTCACTTATGTTTGAATCTTTCTTTGTGAAGTGCTTATCACTTGCAATTGCATATTTAATTGCCTTGTTAGAGTGCACTAATTTGATAACATTGACTTATTTTCATCTTACTTCAATAGAGACAAGGATTCACTATTCCTGCAGAGAGGCTCAACTATCTTCGTTTTATTTCACACTTTCGTTCTGTTCACAGAGGATCTTCTTTTGCTAAAATGAGAAGTACAACTGTTCGCAAATTACTACCAGAGTATGATTATTTTCATTTTTATAGTAGAACTGGAAATTTACTATCCACCTCAAAGTTTTTTTATTTCTTTCTTTGTCTTCTTGTTTTGTTCAGGTCTTGGGGTTTCCTTTGCCCGGTTCACACGCCTGATGGGACACCTTGTGGTTTGTTGAATCACATGACTTCTCCATGTCGTAAGTTTTAATCTATTTTATGTTTAGTTTTCTTCAACATTTTCTATATTTGCTAAGACCATAAATGATGGAAGTTGCATATGGTTGCCTTTAATTATGTGATATTGTGGCTATGAATTAAGTTAAAACTGCCTAGGAAACTAACTCATTTTTCTTTTTTATGAAATGGCCAATTTAATTATTGTGAGGGATTGTTATTGGAGTGGGGATAATAAATCATTTTTGATTCACATCTTTTAGATGAGAATGCTTAGGTGGATGAGTGGCTTTACCCTTAGAGATAGGATACGAAATGAGCATATACGTGAAAAGGTTGGAGTAGCTCCAGTAGAAGATAAGATTAGAGAGAGTCGCCTTAGATGGTTTGGTCACATAAAACGGCGATCTTACGATGACCCGGTTAGGAGAGTAGAGGTATTAGATTTGACTTATGTTAAGAAAGGTAGGGGTAGACCTAAAAAGACTTGGTTAGAAAATATTAGGAATGACCTTTCTTTATTAGATTTAAACGAGAATTTGACTTTTAGTAGGACACAATGGAGAAAAAGGATTCATGTAGCCGACCCCACGTAGTGGGATAAAGGCTTGATGTTGTTGTATCTTTTTAAGATAAATTTATAGGCTTTTTTAGTTTTCTCTTGCCTTGCTAATGTGTTAGGCTAGTTCAGCCTGAACCGGCCCAACTCCAGCCGGCCCCTTTTAATGGGTTGGTTCAGGTTTACAAAAGGATGGGCAACTGTAAGAGAGAGGGAGAGAGAGGAGGTGGGGTCCACTAGAGATTCAAATGTTTGGAGCCAGAGGGGGTGGCAAGGACTAATCTGTCTTTTGGCTTTAATGATTAATTGTATGCTTTAAGTATGAGGGAGGAATTATGGCTAGGGTTAGGCTTTGTTTTGGTGGCTGATTTTCGGAATTCTTCTCTTGGTGTCTTAGGCTCTAGATTCGTCTAGGGATTATGAGAGAACGATCCTCCTCTCGAACTGAGGATCAATTGTATCTTGCTTATTTGTTTCCGTTGTTTGATTTCCACCATAAAAAAACTATTGTTTTGCATTTTTTCAATTAGATTCGTGAAGTTTCTCGATGTTTTCATAAATCATGTTAGGGTTTATTTGAAATATTCAAGTATTTCCTATCATAATGCTATTTCTTTAGAGCTTTCTCACATTTCCAACATAATATTTCTGAGTCAGCATATATTTCCTTGCAAAATTGTTTTTTAAGTTTTTAGGGGCTGCGCTTATTATGTTATGGTTCTTTGAGTTGGAACATGAGTGTTGAGTGGTGCATTGACACTTGCAAACATTGAATTCAAGATGCGTTGAAATCTGTGGACGGGGCTTGTGAAATTGAAGGTTGGCCTTGAATTCTCAAAGATTTTGTAGTTAGCTGTGTTACATGCGGGTTAGTGACGAGTGCAGATAGTGTTAGGAATATTAGCTCACAAGAATGATTTGTGTGAGATGGATTGTTAGCAGCTACTACGAAATCAAGTGCTAATGTAAGTTGCATGAGCAAGAGTGGTGTTGGGACTAGGTGTACCTGAGCACTAGAGTGGAATGATAGCATTGATTTGGATTGCTGACAAGGTTTCTAGTGAGCCAATGGAACAAGATTGATGCAATAAAAAATTTGGGAGAGACCCAAATTTTTGATCATAAAAAAGAAACTCTTTCTAGAGAATAAAAGATTACAAGAACTCATAAAAACTAGACAAATTAGACAAAACAAACTTTTATATCATATAAAGACTTACAAACTTTTGACTCTTACAAACAACTCAAACAAACGACTCAAACAAAACACCTAAAGTTGCTTTCATCCATTAGAAGAAGGATACAGGTGGAGTGTAAACTTGCGAATAGAAGAAATAGATTAGGAGTCGAGACGAAGGTTGGAAAGAGCCCGCAGGATTTCCAGAGGGGATGAGAAAGAAGCTTAGAAAGAGCCCGCAGGATTTCCAAAGCAAAACCACTCAGGTTTTGTCCCAAAAATCACATTATCACACTTATTTTTATAACCCAACACATCTATTATATATAGGCATAAGAGGGGAACCAAACAGCCCAAGAATCCCCATAAATGGAATGATAAAAGCCACTAATTTTCCTGCACAGAAATCCCAAACAGCAAGGCAGAAAGTCACGGTTTCCAGCACAGGGAAACCAACAGCGCCAAGGCAATTAAAGGCCACGGCATCGGCACAGAGAAACCCCAAACGTCATAGCAGTTCTCAAGGGAAAGCCACGGTTCCAGCACAGAAAATTCCACACGGTTTCAACAATTCCAAAGGAGGGGCTTCGGTCCCAACAGCCACATAAAGTCACGACAACAAAGAAACCCCAAACGGCACAGCAAATCCAAGGAGAAGGCCACGGCCAGCAGCCAAGCACAGAAATCCAGCAGCTCTTATAGGAATCCCAAACATTACAACAACTATAGAGGAGGAAAAGGCCACGGAACCAGCATGTAATTAACAGATACATTAATTCATGGTAAAAGGAGAGCCAAAGCCACGGTTCCAAGTGGCTGATTCACAGATCCAACAGAAATTAATGCAAAGGCAGCCAAGCCAATCCGTGGGAATTAATGCAAAGGCAGCCAAGTGATAAACTGCAGCAGTCCACTCCAATAGCAGCCCAAGTGATAATAGGGAGATGAAAGGTCAAGTTAATGAAGAGAAAGAAGAGGGGGAAGGAGAAAAGACACAAGAGAAGAAACCTAAGAGCCACAAGGAGGAGGAGATTAATCTAATTAAACTTCAATTTATGAGCTTAAAACACTCTACTAAATATTAATGAGCTGACATTTAGTAGAGGATATTAAAACTCACCAAAAGTAAAACTCAACTTGTTTTGACCCCTCCCCTTGCCTACATCAAAGATCATATGGTATCTTGTTATAAAGTAAGGCGGTGGGAATTAAGCAAAATTATGGTCACTACTTTGGGTGCGGTTGACTGAACTTAAATGTGCATAATTTGAAGGGATTTGGATTTACAACTTTAATCTAAAGACACTTGTAATTTGTTTTTGAATATAAGTTGTTAATCCTTTTTTTTTTTTGGAACAGGCTTGTAATAAAAAATCAAATTGAGTTCAAATCTAATACTCTTTGGAACAAAACATTCAAATTCAAACAAACTTTATCCTAAAGGATGACTAAATTATATAAATCAAATAAAAAAAACATGAAATTGGTACACAATTGAAATTAGCTTAAAAATGTATGTAAATATAGTTGAGCTTTGTTGTTTATGGATTGATTTGGTTTGTTTATTTAATGCTAAGTTTTTACTTAACATTTTGATTGAGCGAGGGGTAGTAAGACAAAAAGCGGGTGAGGAAAAAGAGACATTGGGCGGAGCTCTAAGTATTGGTGTGAACGAAGTTTTGTGCCTATATGTTTCATGAAAAGAAAAATTGAACCTTTTTTATAATCAGTTATAAATGATGTGAGGGCTAGTGAGGGAGAGCCTTTAGTTATTTCAGGGTTGATAGTTTTGACATATTCATCTCACAACAAAATGTTTTGGGCTTTCCAATGATTTATTAACGAGGAATGTAAATGGTAAAGCTTACAAGAAGTTGTAGAGGATGGCATGAACCTGATTTATAAATGGGGACTGTTAACCTCAGGATGTGTCTTTACACAACCTATTCAAATGCGACAAAAAACGACGGATAATGGTCGTTGTAGTTGCACAAAGTCATGTTCAAGATACATTGGACAACTCAAAGTAATCTAAATGTTGATCATTTCATGGAACAGGGTACACCGATGCTCTGGAGCAATGAGGTTACTATGGAGGTACCTACTTTTAATCATTTCAATAGACAATGATGAAATTGTTGACCAACAAACTGAAAATATTGCAAGATTTGATCGAATTGTATATTCTAAAATATATTTAAAAAACATCTAATCATCGCTCAGATTGTTAAATGAAAGAAAAATACGAAATTAACATGCATTCAAGATGATGAGAAAGGTCGACACATGCAAGCAATGAAAATTTTGGGAGTTGAATTGATACACACATTCATTACAAGTTAATTAAAGCTAGATAACATAAATAATGAACTAAATTTAAATTTAAAGTTCCTAGTTTTAATTCTAATTATCTATTAAACAATTAATTTAAAAAATAATTATTAAATTATTTCCTCTTTTAAAAATATATATACATAAGTAATCCTATTATTAGTAATTAAAAAAGTCCTAGAAATCCTTGTCACAACCTTGAAATCTCTACCTGTCGTACACAGTCACACTCAATATGCCCATAGTTCAATGAAAAAAAAAACACTATTCTTATAGGTCTTCTGTTAAACTAGGCCCTTTCACTCGTTTTCCTTCTTCTCCTTGCTTCCAAACCTGATCTCCCTCACGCCTGTAACCCCGCATGCTGTACTTTTCCTCGTCGAAGTCCACCACGGTGAAGCTACTGCAGGCCTTTTGCTCGCACCTCCAGGCAACCAAATGAAATCCCAATCTCAACCACTCTCCCAACCTCTTCAAATCCCACTCCTTCACTCTTTGCAGCTTGCTTTGTCGTCGACAGCCTTACAAGCCTTATGGGTGCCGCAAACTCCTCCCAAAACCACACCTTGCTGACAATCTCCTCATCTTTAGGCCTCTCCATCTCCATGAAACCGCAAAGCTCCCACAAGCTGCACTTATTTGTCACCTTACTACCTCTCTCTCTCTCTCTCTATCTTTCTCTAAACAAAGAGAGAATACCTTGTACTCTTTACCTTTTTTCTCTCTAAATAGAGGAAACAAAAGTTCTATCCCTGTCATTATATCTTTCATTCTTTTCCACTCTCAAACTGTCTTATACTTTCTCTCTAAAAAATTGTTAACAAAAGATAGAAAAGAAAACCCAAAAAATGAGAAGAAAAATATTTGACAAAAGAAATGAAAGATAAAAAAGATTAACTTTTTTAATCTTATCGCATCGTCATCATTGTCATCGCTTGGTGCGCATGCATAAAACACTTAAAACTCCCGAAGTCCGTATTGCGATGTGTTTGGCATGACTAGCATAACTTGTGCGCTTTTCTTATCACGGTAAGAGAAACTCGTAGACGATGCTTGCGGCATATAGAAAGAATATATTGTTTTGCAAATCTCATGTAGATACCCTATATATGCCTGTATTAGTGCAATGGGTTTTGAAAATCTTAGTCATATTCTTTGGTGATCTATCATGCGTGCCTTTTTTAGCATGGTCGGTAGGCATGGACCCTTATAGGTGCTCTAAATACATGGAAGATGATGGGAAGTTTTTGAAATGCAAACTGAATAAACTTATAGGGAATAAGAAATTAATGAATATTTTTTTGAGCAAAATATGATCAAGTGAAAGATCAAAATGCAAGAAGAACAAGATTTGAACATTTAAATATCATACAAGCAGGTTTTGGACCTATAATTCATCTTAAACATGAAACTTACGAAGGACTTGATGACTTGCCAATGAACACAAGCACAACCTCCGCTGCGTGTAGAGCAGTCATAAAACTCTGCAATGCTTGTAAGCGATTTATAAATCTAAGTGAATACAAAATGAATAACGATACCCCTCTTATTCATAGGGAAGGGAAGAATTTCTTTTGAGGTCCACCACGCAAAAAAATAGCAAGCGTGTATGCCTGCTAAAGAATGTGGGCAATATTCGTAGGTGCATCAAAAAGTATGCGAGCACATCAAAAAGCATAAAAGTGCACCGCAAATGCATCGAAAACATAGTGTAAGTGAAATATGTAGATGCTTCACGCAAGTGTATTTTGAATTATAAAATGTGTTTTTTGAATGCATTGAAAGTCTTGCATGACAACTAAAGAAAAAAATCAAGTTGAAATCAAATTACCTGCATGTTCTTTGATAAATGCATCAAACTCTTAAATTTGAGATCTTAGAATGTTGGGTGGGCTCAAATAAAAATTAACTTTTGACTATTCCCAAGAAGCATGCACGAGTACTTAAAAATTGTGCAGGTGTGCAAGCACATCTCACAAATTCATAGAGAACGAGTAAGCTTGTCATGCGAAGTTGCAAATGCATTGAGAAATGTGCAACTGCATTGTGCATCTGCATAAAAAAGCATGTAACTGTACTATGCCATGCATAAAAAAGTGTGCAAATGTAATTTGCAAATACATTGAAACTATGCGTATTTACTAAATTATTTTCAAGTCTTTAAAATTTATATTAACTTCCATGTTTTATGATAAAATTTATATTATCTTCCATGTACTTTGATAAATTTATCAAACTCCTAAAATTGAGATTTGAGGATGCTATGTGGGCTAAATAAAAATAAGCTTAATTTTTGACTCATCTTGAGAAGCGTACATGCACAATATGTAAACACACCGAAAATCATACAAATATGTATGTACACCGTGCAAATACACATAAACAACGTGCAAGTGCATTGTGTAGATGTATCGAAATATCTGTACTCCATCTAAAAAAATAAAGTTTAAATCAAAATACATGCATGTGCTCCAATAAATATATCAAACTTTTTAAATTTAAGGTTTGATAATACTACATTGGCTAAAAATAAGAACTTCGTTTCACCAACATGGAAGCGCACTATGTTGGCTCATCGAAAAGCCTGCAAATGTGTGAGTGCATCACACAAATACATCAAAATCATGAAAGTGTGTCATACAAATGCACTAAGAAATAACAAGTGTATTATGCATCTGAATCAAATACGTGCAAAAGTACTACAATCAAAATCTCTGCATGTGCTTTAAAAAGGGTGTTAAACATCCAAACCTCATGTTTGAGATTGACTCGCAGACAATAAACAAAGTGAACTCAAATTTGATTCAATACTTTATGAGCGAATGAGTAGAGTTGATAAGGTCAAAAATAATAAAATGAAAGCACTCAAAAATCTCGATGATGTCCTTGTTGATTGGAAATCTCAATCGAAGGAGGCATGTTTATAAAATGCGGCAAATTATATAATCAATTATTGTAAGGACCAAGTACCTAAAAAGAAAAAAAAAATTACAAAATTCAAATAATTCAAGTTAAATATATCCTTGAAGCTTAAAGTGAATTCATCTATCCTCCTTAACTGTTTATTGATGGTGATAAGTTTGTTGATGTATTGTTAAGCGTATCACTGTGCTCACCCTCAAACAATCTCTCAATAATAAGATATTGTCATGTGTCCTCTAATAAGTGATTTTGTTATCAAATGACATCACATGTAAACAATTATGAATTGGGTCCTTTGGCTAAGTGATTTTATCACAAAATGATGCTATTACATTACAATTATGACCTATAAGTTCCCCATGGTTTAAAAACCTTGGAGTTGTTAATCATAAGGTACATTTGATAGAGCATAAAATACTGTTTACTGAAGTCAATTTAAATTTGTCCACTTACGTAAACATTCACCCCAAGTCTATAAGTTCTCTTGGACAATGAAATCTATGGCTAATAGTAAGAATCCTTCGATCAAGTTGGGTCAACTAGCTCGTTTAGTTAAGTTGAATATGGTCTATGACAACTTGTGATAATGGAACTATATGATCTTTATTGAGTTCGTTATCATCACCCCCCAATTCAATTTAAGATTTGGGTGGTAAATTTCTCAATCTAAAATTAAATTTACTGCTATTATACGCTAAACATTTAGTTTTTAACTATTAGCCTTGATTGGAAGTTTTTTCTCATCATAAAGAGGGGTAATTAACCATATAAGCACTTGCTCCTACGAGAAACCAGGAGCTAGATCTTAAAGTTCTTGTAAAATAAGAGAAATATTTGTGCAGTGTCTTTTATGCAATCTAATATGCCTTATGAAAATTTAACCTGGAATACTAATACTCTCTTGGTAGAGCCAATGCCCGAATTTTCGGAGCCCACGGGACAGGATTTTGGAAATTTTCAAACTAAAATATCCTGTTAAATCTGTTTACAAAAGGATAATGCTTTTTCATTTTGACTCTATTTTTTGGATAGTTCTCATTTCAAGTGTTACAAGTATGAAAACGGAGGGTTTAACCTTTTGGAAGCCTTGCATGGTACCGCCAAATACATAGTTGTTTGTGAATTTTCATGTTTCTTTTTAAATTTATTTTCCCGTCAAAATAAGAGTCCAACTAATTTGAGAAAAATTGCATTTTTTTTATTGGAAAGCTATTCAGGTTAGTTTTGCAAAAAGTTGCTTAACATTTTATTTCATATGTAGATTGGACATTTAATCTATGAAAATTCATGCATTGATGATGGCCAGGCATTGACGACTCTTTTGGAGAATAACTGATGTTTTCATCGGCAAATGTTGAAATCTCATTTATGATCATTTTATGTCTTCCTCTGAAATTGTTATCAGTTTTAAAATATTTGTTGATCTAGTGCTGGTGCGACTCATAGACATCTTTTAAGAACTCCATGCTATTTTTGTAACCTACATTTTCATCCAGTTTACTTTGCCACCAAAAAAATGTTTGATCTTTTTTTTTTGTCAAGCATAATTTTCTTAACCTTTTTTCAATTGATTTTTCAGGAGTTTCATCTTTCTATGACATAAATGGACAATTAAAAGATTTTCTTAAAATTCGGATGTCCATTCTAGCTGTTTTGATTGCACTTGGAATGACTCCTCTACAACCAAGGCTTGAGCATACCGGTCCTCCTGAAGTTCTTCATGTTTTGTTAGATGGTTGTGTTGTGGGTTTCGTTGCTTCTGCCAAAGTAGAGAAAGCAGTGATGCATTTACGGAGCTTGAAAGTTGCCTCATCTTCCGGTGTATGCGGATTAAAGTTTGTTTAATTTTTTTTTACATCTTTTTATCTTTTGGAATCTTATTCTTGTCAATATGTTGTTATAGATTCCGGATGATCTGGAAGTAGGATTTGTACCATCAAGTGAGGGTGGAGCCTACCCAGGATTGTATCTTGCTACATCTCCTTCTAGATTGATTCGGCCCGTTAGAAATATTTCCTGCACTCCTGATCGAAAAGCCGATATTGAGTTTATAGGCCCATTTGAACAGGTTAAACGGGTTTATAATATATTCTTATTACTAATTTAATACGTAAAGGGTGATATTTTTTGAATTATATGAAATATTTGCTGTTCAAATTGTTAGGCTTTCATGGAGATTAGTTGCCCTGATGGTGGAAATGGGGGAAGAAGAGAATTCTTCCCCGAAACTCATGAAGAGATCCATCCAACTGGAATGCTCAGTATTGTTGCAAATCTTACTCCGTGGTCTGATCACAATCAAAGTCCTCGTAATATGTACCAATGCCAGGTTTTATGTTCTGCTTGCCCGTATATCACCTAATCCTTGATATATTTTCTCTTAACACGCAGTTGACTCATATACCAGATGTACCCGTCTTGTTGCAGATGGCAAAGCAAACAATGGGATTTTCAGGCCAAGCGTTACAGTTCCGTGCAGATATCAAGACATATCATCTACAGGTCAGATTGGTAAAACTGTTACTTATTAATTGCATTAAGTTCAATAAACAGCAATGGCTCTTAAGAGAATTTCTTTTACTATATGCCTTTTGTGTGCTACCTACATATTTACTTGTGGCATTCTTAATAGTATTTTGTCACATTTCAAGAAAAACTTTTGGTCCTTTCTCATTTTTTTATGATTTTGTTTTATCTTACTGCTTGTGTTTAGCATTCCTGATACAAATCTTGAAATAAGCATATTTCATTTCATATGATAGAAATGCTTATGAAAGGAATACAGATCAACAGGATGCAGATCTTTAAACTTTATTTGTGTTTCGATGTTATGCAAGAAGGTTATTAAGTTTATTGAGGAGATTTGCAAATTCTTGTTTAAGGGAGAACTTGGATTAATTATTGACGGTTTTTCTATATTTTAAGAGGAATGTTGTTGATTCACAATTTATTCCTAAGCTTCCAAAGCATAAAGGAAATATCCTTTTTATAAGAACTCAATCGATTGTTAATTCTTTGTAAATTTTCTTCCCAAATTCACAATTAATTTTCTGTTATTTTATTTTATTTTTACCTCTGAAACTGTTTGACTCTTTTAACTTAACTTAGGCATATAGTAGTAGAGGCAAATGATTTTTTTTTTCTGTTGCTTTAAAGCACAACAGACAAATCATACACTTTAGTTAACTAGTTTAATTGCACGTGCATATACGTTTAAAATATAAATAAGAGCATAATAAAAATATAGTTTTATTGAGTATGTTACTAATATTATATTAAAATTAGTAATTATTTATTTATTTTCAAAAGAAAATAGGAATTAAATTGATTGGGCATATACACTTCTATTATTCGTGTCCTTATAACATAATTATAAATTTTCTTAATTTTTTATGTAGTTTTTTTTAACTAATGTTCTAGAAGTATTGTCTTTAGTTATTTAAAATTTAAGAAAAATATTTACTCACTGTGAAACAAAATATTCATTTTAAAAGTATTATAGATGATATAAATGATTGAGATTTATATGTAAATAATTATGCATTCCAATATTGTTTTATAGTTTTATCATAATTTTGGTTTTTCCCTCTTAGGAAATCTCAATGGAATTCATCTCTAGCGTCTTCACCTCCTCCTTAGACTAGGCATACATTTATATTACAATAAGGGGCTGTTTGGTTGCCTGAAAAGAAAATGCAGTGTAAAGTAAATGTAATGTAAAGTAAATGTAGTGCATTCTGAATACTTTAAGCATGTTTGGTTGTCTTCAAAATAAACGTAGGAGAATTATTTCCCTTGTTTGATTAGGTACATTCGGAGTAAAGTAAAAATAGTTTTTTTTTGTAATAATTTATTTTGGAATTAATTAATTACTTAAATTCACAATAATTGTTTTTATTTAATTAATTAAATTTATTAGAATAAAAGTTTATTAACATAATTATAATCTAATTAACACAATCTTATCATAAATATATCCTATTTACTATATAATTAATGATGGATTATACCCTTATTAATTTAGTTATGCCAATCAACTATGTTGCTTAAAAAGTTATTCATTCAACAAACAATTATCGTAAGAAAATAAGCCTACTCACCAAAAGACCAGTAAGGCATCGGGACCGGCCTTCCGATGAGCTTCGTGTACTGGTCCATAACAGCAATCAGCGTCGGTCCGGCGAAGAAGTAGAAATCCAAGATACCACCAATCACTTTATAAGTAATAAGATTCCTGCTATAAAGCACACCAATCCCATTGCTATTAAGCAACAGAACGCTGTGAGCGGCTCCGGTCGGCAATCTCACGTCCATGTAGAAAGGGTGAGAACCATAAAGGTTCGCATTTGGATTCACGGCCGCGATGTTTGCGATCCAAAACGTTAACTTCTCGCCGGGAAATGGGGATGAGGTCTTTGATTTTAGTCGAAAGGTCCACGGAGTCGATCAGTATGAATTCGAGGGCGATGGAGACGGAGCGGGGAAGAACGTGAAACTCTCCCATCTTCTATGATTCGACGGAGCCGCTGGTTTGGCTATCTCTCCGAGTCTTCTCCACATCGCCCAACATCCTCTCCGCAATCCTCAGTTTGATTGCCAGCTTCGTCGCGCGATCGGTGGAGAAATCTGTTGTGGAGACAATTTCGTCAGCGTTTGATTTACCGATGGGGACGGCGACTCCAACGTCGGAGGTGGCCAAGGGACGGAGATCGTCAAGGAAGGTGATAATGATGGTGGCGTAGCGGAAAGCCTCGTGCACGGCCCGGCGGTGAGTGCCGAAGTTGCCGGTTCGGCGTCGACCAATGACATAGATTGCACCGTCGCTTCTCGGCTCCCTCGTCGTCGTTCGACTTCGTTCATTCGCGCGAGAGCTGGTTCTCGAGCAAAGAATTTGAAACCCGCTCATTTTGAGCGGCTTTGGAAGTCGCGGGATCCGCCTCTTGTAATACACGCCTAATGCTTTGGAGGATTTTCTTTTGTTCCGCTCAAAATTAACCAAACAGCCGAATTTAGTAAATACATGTATTTGTTTTACTTTACCCTCCTAATGCAGGCAACCAAACAGCCCCTAAGTCTAATTTCTTAATATAATGATTTATTAATAACGCAAATCAGACAATCCGTTAGCATAGGCATTCGGCATTTGGTAAAGGAGACATTGTTATAACTGATATTTAGAGATCAATTTCTTTTTGTGCAATCACTTCAGAGAAGGGAAGTGTTTGAGATTTATTTCTTCAAATAAAATCAAGGAAATAAAAGTAAAATAAGAAAAATCTATTTAACTAAAATGTTTGAAGGTAAAACAAATAAAACCCTATCACTAATAAAATAAATCATAAACAATTAGAAATTTTTTGACCATGATGGAACATTGGTTTAGGGTCTTAAAAAGTCATGAAAATAGGCCTGGTTTAATCTGTTGTGGCCTCATTTGACTACTTGCAGTGGCCTTTTGCCAGCTATATTTAATCATTGTTTAATGGACGATCTTATTCTACTGACCTTCCGATAAAGACAAATTTATATTGAAAAATAATTTTACCCTTGACAATTGATGAAAGGATAACCACGGCAAATTTCGGAAATAAAAAAGAAAATAATAATGGGAATGATATGTCACTAAAAAATTAAGCACCAATTGACTCTAAAACGGATGCATAAAGGTGGTGATCTCGCTCTACATAAATAAAAAAAGTCTATTCTTCCTCCCAATAATCCCATTTTGTTGAAGGCGTCCAAGAAGCCAAGTAATTTGTGCGATGCCTGTTTTTTTGTGAGAGAATAAATTTGCATCTTTTTTTTTTTGGTAAAATTGTAATTCCGTGCCCAGTGTTTTATCATTTCACAAATCTTATTTTTTACTGCTGGGGTTATTTACGCCCTAAATAATGTGTTGAGTTTGAGAAATGTGCTTATTACTTTTTATTTTTCTAATTTTCTGTTCAGTATGCATCATCTTTTAATGTAGTTAGGATCTGTCATTTGCCTTTCCACACTGATAACCTTTATATCATTGTCTTCTGTCCCATCATTAATGTTTTCTGTAGACACCTCAATCGCCCATTGTGCGGACTGCTTCATATAATAAGTTCTGCCTGGATGAATTTCCAGTTGGGACTAACGCAATAGTTGCTGTTCTAGCTTACTCTGGGTAGATCCTTTTCCTCTTAATTTATGATATTAAATTTCCCTTCTGGGGTTTTTTTTTTATTGGATTATTTGAACTTTTCAGCTATGATATGGAGGATGCCATGATTTTAAACAAATCCGCTGTTGAGCGTGGGCTTTTCCGTGGACATATATACCAGGCTAGTTTTTATCTTTATACCCTATTGTTTGTGAAGAATGTGCTACAAAATTTGACTTCCTACATACTTATTTTTACCCTACATGTACTTTTTTTATGAGCAAAGTATTTATTCCGGCCATTCTATGCCCGTGATTATGCGATTTATTGATACAACAAAATGTTTGAAATTTAATAACTGCATATTTTATTTATTTATTTACTTCTTTAAATATTCATTTGTCTAAAAAGACTTATTTAGTTGAACGATATGAGATACATAAAATTTTCAACTCTTTTTATAAAAGCATGACGTCATTTCCAAACTGCTCTGGTGGTACTATATTGTGAATTCAATGACTATTTAAAGGTTTTGGGTACATTGACACCCAAACTGAACTCATTATTCCAAGTTTAATTTGATAGCGAACTTTCTCTCCTGTTTTATGATAGGAAACACTTGGATTTCCAAGTGTTTC